CCTAGATGTAGGTTTATGTTCAACGACTGGATATGTTGGCATGCTACTGGTACTCCCAATATTTAGAGGCAATGTTCAACCTAAAGAAGCAACCACTGAGCTAGTATTCTCAATCATTGAAGTCCTAGGAACAGTCAATTTTTGGGCTGAGTTGTGTAGATATAAATCTTGTTGATCCATCAACACTAGCAAACAGCCCAAGTCAGTTGAAGTTTCCATTCTGAAATGATCTGTGGGATGTACTAAGTCAGTTGAATTAGGTCTATTATAGGCGGAATACCCCCCTCCACTTCTGTTTCGGTTGACCATAATAATATGTGAATGTAGAGCAAACAGGTTGTCTTTCACTATGGTGATAGTCTCCCTAGCCAGCAAGTCTCTAACCCCCTGTACAAATATTTTGCTTCTAGGAGGTATACGTTGATGATGGTTCAATCATCAATGATAATTGGCTTGAAAACTGTATCTGTAGCTGTTTGACTACTGACAGAGACATTTTGTCCACAGTAATGGATGTCCAGTTGTTGTAAAAAGCCATAAACACCCAGTGGAGCTGAGGTACTTCATAATGGGTCGTTCATGCCCCCAGAAAGATTGCCTAACCAATCTTCAAAAGTGCTTGGATGTTGCATCATCAATCAGCACAACACTAGAACCTCACCTGTGACCTCACATATACAATCATTTCAAAGTTCATAACAAAACAAATACCTGTGTATATATAAATAATACGGCATTTGTTAAAACGAACCACCAGTGCAAGGACCCATTATGTTAGGTGTATGTACCAAGATTGAACAAAATCAATAATCAATCAATACATGTCCGAAATCCAGTTTCTAAAATACAGAAATGTTTGATTTTGCTTATTTTTTAGCACAAACATGGCTGACATTCAGCTATCTTGAATCAGTTCATGATATGAATGTACATATATATGTATCCCATGATGTATGATGTACATGTTAAGTTTGAATGTGATGTGCCCAGGCATGTTCTAGATGCAGGTAGAGAAACACAAGCACACACATAGACGAACACACAATGCCCTGTTAAAAATACAAAACACTAACAGTACATCAGCAATACATAACATTAGTAAACAAAAATATACACAAAATTAATTACTTCACTTATTTAAAATATATTTGCTTACAGAACAACTCCTATAAAAAGTCACAGTGCCATGTGTGAATACAGAACAAATGTAATCATGGATATTTTGAGCGTATTTTTCATAAAATTCACATACATGTGGTAGGTAGATAAAGATCAACTAATGAATATTCATGATCCAACTTAGAAAAAATGTGTCTTCACCCTGAGTTACAACTGAAACATATTTAGTACATAGTAGACAATATATGGTAATCATTGTCTAAAATCTTTGTTTAAAATAAATATTCACCAATAGCATATGATTATCTGAGAACCATAATGATTACAAAATATCATAGTGTATCAACAAAGCCATGTAATGGAGCATTTCGATTTGCTGAGAAACAGCTGGTAGCAATTGTTGTTTGCTGAATTCATCATCATTGCATGAAGCAAAAACTGATGCAATAACTGGAGGATGTGTTCCACAATCCATCTCCATCTTCTCAGAGATAAAACAAGGTTGTATGTGATGTTGTTAAACAAATTAGTGTTCTTCTTTTCACTCTACAGATGGATGAGGTCATCTGCTTCTGAATATAACAGTAACATTTGCACTTCCAGCTCCACCTCCAAAAGAGAATGTTGGGACAGACAATTCTTCAACGACATCAAAATCTGAGAAGACATATTAATTAAGAAATGTAAAGAGCAAAAATGTTGTGATATTCTGAAAATCTAAAAACAGAAAATTTGATTTCATTACATTTTCAAACTCATCATAGGTATTACAAATCGCGCTTACCTTTTTGTAAATGTTCTATGAGTTGTTTAGATGTCCAGTTACAGCTGGTTAAAAGAAATAGTCCTCCAGCCACCAAGACTTCATTTATATGCTTTAAATAAATATTTCTTTTCTCTTCTGGGCAATCAGGATGCAAACTAACAGCATCGTAAGTGCCTTTGTCATGGCAAATTTTAAAACTCTTTGGTTGGAGACATTCACGGTAGTCATTACTGCTCAAATCTGTACTAGCAAACTGTAATAGCAAGAATGAATTCTTAGTTGTATAAGCCCCTAAATATCCTCTTCACCACCAAACAATAACACATTCATCATGGTTATCACTGATCAAATCTGTAGTAGTAAACAGTAATAAGACTGTACACAATTTATGTAGTAATCCCAAGGTACTATAATAATTACAATTGATGGACTTTTACCATAATGTTTGTTGACAGTTTCTCAGAGTCAGCAATATCTTCGGCCAGCCTTATTGCAGATGCAGAGTAATCCACTCCTACCAGAGACGTATACCCAAGTTTAGCCTGCAGCAAAAACAACAGTATTATATATTTTCTGAATGTTCATGAAGTGCAAAACACAATCCGTTATATATGTCTGATAATCCATCCATTTTTTTTTCTGTAAATATGTCAATTGTTTTTGATGCATATTTTAGAATCAATTGAAGGTCTTTAATCCTAGTCTAACACATAAATTTAGTAAATACTGTCAGTATTATTCAAAATATCTTGCAACCCCTGTCCTGACCATTTTATTTAGCACTCGCCCAAAAAGGGCAGACTATGAAAAGAATACAGAAATAATGACTTTTAATTTGAATATTATGTTTACTACACACGAGAATTGTATATTTATTCAGAACCTTAGAGGTTCAAATGAAATACTACAAGTAATAATTAAAATTTCATGGTATTATAAAAAACCCTCTGGCTCAGATAGGATAGAAACTCATCAGAAACTTGTCCTCAAGGAACATTTATTTCCAAATTCATAAATTTATAATAACAAGTCTTGATTCAATGTCTAATCCATTAATATGTGTGACCTTAATTCATGACTATTGAATGATGCTTACAGTATAATGCTTACATTTGTACTTTCAATGACTTTAACCAATATATTCATGTTTCAATAAATTCTAGATCACTAACTTATCCTGTCTATCAGTTTGGAGCTGCACCTATTTCAGATTCCATGTAAGTGGCAATGTCATCATTTTAAACACACTCAATTTTCCTGAAGTATGAAGTAATTTCTGGTATTTCAAAGCAAAGACTTGATTAACAGACTTCTGCCTTTTAATCAAATCAAGTTATCAGTGATGTTTAATTAAACAGCCAGAGTTATCTTTTCTGACTAGTACATTCACACTCACATTTCACTACACAGTGGTGAAAACAGTACATAAGTGAAATGATGAATATTGCTGTTACTGTCGTTTAAACTTACCAGCTCAATTAGAAACACCCCATTACCACATCCAACATCAAGAATGCTATCTTCCTTCTCAACCAATGGACTATCCTTCATCCATTTAATCACCCTGTTCATTGCACTATGACCAAACCTGGAGTAACAAGAAACATGTTTTACATCTTCTATCAGGGTAATAACTGTAATGCACTGATGGTTAATTGAACAAGAGAAAATACACACTGATTGATGTACATACCATACTTCACCCTTATCACCACTCTCTTTGAAGTTAGACAACTCTTGTTCATAGACATTATCCCAGCTGTAAAACACCAGAGATTATTGGATAACTAGAAATTTATTGGTCCAATGTAACGTCCAATTCAAATCAAATCACTGAACTTTCACAATTTAGCTCAAGTTCCAGGACACTCCACCCTCAAATCAAAGATGACAGCAGACAAAACACAAAGATAACTGACGGCCATGTAGGATCAAATTCACCACTGACTTTCCAACTATTAACATTTGATACGAGACACAGATTCATTTCAAGAAAGTTATCAGGTTTTCAAAAAAATATTGTCTGTAAAGAATAGATACTGGAATAACATGGTTACAGAAATTATTACTATTACACTATCTGCCAGTAAAATTACGTATAGAAACATTACATGCAACACCAGGTTTCATGAAGGCATGAATTAGTTAAATTTATATAAAGTTTATAAATGTTTGTAAATTTCAAATAGTGATTAAAATGAACTTAACCAATCACAAATGAATACCACCAGTCTAGAACTTAATTGTAGTCAGTTAACCTTTAACCTCTTCTTTGACACTGACTCACTATTGCAATTTAACTTTCTGTGGCAAATGATAATGAAATTATTTGTACTTGCATTCTTTTAAAATTATTTAAGCAAACGAAACATTCATTTCAAGCATTTAGACAAATTTGATGTAATATATATTTTGCGTTCATGACTGTAAATTGACTTAATGATTGAAAGACTCTGCAAAGACTCATGGATAATGGGTATTATTAAATGGTATGGCTTCTACAGCCAATGAAACTGGTGTATGATGCGACAGCAATGATTTTTAATTTCCCCAATGTTGTTTACTTCTTGTTTATTTATACAGTGACGTGAACGATGAAATAAATACATTTCAAATAATAATCCTATACTTAGAATTAGAACTATTCAGGAAAGACTGAGGAAAAACATAAAATCAGATTTCAGGTATGGAATCAAAGACACACTGAGGGAATGATACACGTGTGATCACAGAGATTACACAATCTGCAATTAACTATGAGTAAGAAAGTGATATTGACAACATCACTGAGGATGAATACACACCTCTATAAAGTACATCCCAGTCCAGGGGTGTGCAGAACGTGACTCAATCAATTGACATATACGTTCCGACCAGACACCAATTGGTTTTGCGGCATACTGCACAAAATTTTGCCAATCCAGTTGTCTCAATTGAATTTGAATGAAGCATTCGATAAATGTGTTTTTATAAAATTATAGAATCTGATTGGCTTTGCTGTGGAACACTGCACGAATTATTATAGCCAATCCAGTTGTCTTAATTAGATTTCAGTGAAATGTTCAGTAAATATCTTTAAATTACTGGTAGTTATAAAATATGTAAATGGATTTTCTGAAAGCACTGCAGGTAGAAACTTCTCATTTCAGTTTGAATTGTAAAATTTATGAATATTTTGAAAAATCTAGGGAATTGGTTACCATGGGTTTCATAATACATGAATTTGTTTTTATTTTAAATATACATGTGTATTTATAAAAGACTTTGATAGAAAGATCTACAATGCTTTCATTGGCTATAAAAAGAAAACTTCAATTTATTTATTTATTTAATCACTTAACATGATGAAAGATAATGGATACAAACAAAAATGAAAAGTGACATGCGATATGATAAAGCCAAAAAAGTAATAAAATAAAAACACATCCAATTAGTAGTTGGAATTGCCAAGCCAGTTATGAAAGGTCTAATTGTGAACAAATGTTATTTTGTGGAATGTATCACGACAGCGTGTCTTGTATATATATATATATAATTATTACGGTCATGAACGCAAAAGTAAGAGTTAAGACGTTTCATTATACCGCCACCCTTTACCCTAATTCAAATTCTAGCCCCCAATTCAATTGTATGTATATGTTCTAGATAACTACAAGTGGGCAATGGAGGTTCGGAGTGGGTTTAGGATTGGAAGTGGGATGCAATAAAAAGTATTTCCTATGTGATAAATTATCGCTCCATTGTTGAACACTTACTAGTTTTTTTTTCCAAGATCTGAAGGTTCAAACTCAGCGTCGGAACTCAAAGAATCATTTTCGTCTTCCATTATATCAGCAGACACCAAGGGCGCCGCCATCTTGAAAACGTTGTTGACTATACTTGTCACACGAGGGCGCTCGAATATAAACTGATTGGTGCTGTTGCAGGTTTTCATGATGAGACCTCTATTCTTTTTAGTGGTCTGAAGTTTGTTCTAATAGCTGTCACATTTGGCATACTCTTCGTCATTTCGAGGTCATTATTTTGAATTTGACTCATATCGTATAATTTATAACATACTATCCGACTAAA